TGTATTTGAATCAAACATGCAGTCTGTCTTGTTATAATCCAAAAACATACAGCATACTGGGCCAGGTGTGATGGTGCACACCTTCAATCCCATAGAGAAACAGGGTGGGATTTAGAAGAGAGGGGCCTGTGAAGGCCATCAGTCAGTCAATGCCAGTTGATCAAGCTGTTCCCACAGGGCAGGTTGCTCCCTCTGGGCCTGGCCTCTCCAGTTTAGGCCACACAGCCTCTGCACAGAGTGGGGCTTGATGTTCCATCCCCAGAGTGCAGCGGGAGGATGGCAGTTGTTGGAGGCCTGGCCTAGAGATAGCACCCAGACTCTAGACTTTGTGGTCAGCCCCTGCACTTGGCACAGGGCGGGCTAAGTGTGATGTGCATTCTTGTAAATCTCATTTGAAGGCTGAGACAGGAGAACGTTCAAGTCCATCCTGGGCTACCTGGTAAAAACTCAAACAAACAAACAAAAAGGCTGGAGGCATGGCTCCATGGTTAAGAGGGCTTGCTGCAGCCGGGCGGTGGTGGCGCACGCCTTTAATCCCAGCACTCGGGAGGCAGAAGCAGTCGGATCTCTGTGAGTTCGAGGCCAGCCTGGTCTACAGAGTGAGATCCAGAGACAGGCATCAAAACTACACAGAGAAACCCCGTCTCGAAAAACAAACAAACAAATAAATGAATGAATGAATAAAAATAAAGGCTTGCTGCTCTAGCAGAGGACTGGAGCTTGGGTCCCAGCACCCCCATCAAATGGTGAGCAACCCTCTGCTCCCAGGCTCCTGCCTTGACTTCCGCTGATGATGGACTGTGACCCAGACACACCCTTTCCTCCTTGGGTGTTGCCTTTGGTCATTGTGCTAATCGCAGCAATAGTGACTAGACTGGGACAGCGCCCAGGTGAGGACCAGTGACCAGCATCACCAGAGATACAAAGTGGCCCTGGAGTATGCACCAGGGAAGGCCCTCTGCTCTCCAGCAAGGACTCTTCCAGCTGGCGCCAGCAGGCTGGGGGCTCCTGGTGTGAATGAAGAGGAAGAAGTGCCTCGCACTGGACGTAGCCGACCCCAGTTGTGCGTGTGTGCGAGTGTGTCCGTCCGGCACTCTGTCCTGGACTTCCACACCAACTGCAGGCTCTCTACCTCCACCCGGTCAGCTGTCACCCTTGGTCCCCTAAGACCTCACTTTTACGTCATGAGTGCATAGCCTTTGACCCCAGGTCTGGCTCAGGGTCCGTGTGCAGGTAGGTGGCACACAGGTGCCTGAGTTTGTAGAAGCCACTGTTGCTGCCCAACCTCCCACAACCAGGGCACATCCCTTCTGACTCCAGAAAAGGTTTGCCCTCGAGATCAGAGGCCGGTGTCAAAGCAGGGAACAGTCAAGGTCGGAAGACAGCAGTCAGGACACAGGCTGGGAGGGGCAGGGTGGGAGCGGCTGTGGAAAGGGAAGGCTGGTGTTGGGCCTGAGTGGGACTGGGGGAGTTCATGGGGCAGTTTGGGGTGGGCTTCTGGTGTTGCAGTGTTGCCCGGTTTGGGGCAGATCTGTGCCAGTCTCCTTCCCCGCCATCTTCAAGTTTCAGCCTGTGGTAGGGACCCTGTGGGCCCGAGAGTTCCTTCAGGCACACATTCAAAACTTCCAAACGCCTGAGAGGTTCTGGCTCTAAACTTCAGGGGGCTCCAATCGGAAGATCTGAAAGCCGGCACGTCTAGTTAGCTGTCCTCCCCAGTGACTGTCCCCCTCCCGTCCCCTGTCTTCCCAGGGCAGGGCCACCGGCCTCCAGCTAGAGCTCCTGTCGTGGCGTCTGAGAGCGAGACCCAGGCTTGCTCAGCGGTCACAGTGCCTGCGCTTTCTGTGCTGATCCAAGAACAAGCAGGTCAGCCGAACCTGCTCACGGTGCACCCCGGAGTGGTGCTGTGGGCTGGGCCACATGCTCACGGTGGCACCCCAACATGGTGCTGTGGGCTGGGCCACATGCTCACGGTGCACCCCAGCGTGGTGCTGTGGGCTGGGCCACATGCTCACGGTGCACCCCAGCGTGGTGCTGT